ACAGCTATTAATCTTACACATACATCACCATTCACCAGTGTTTTTATTTATGTACCGTAACAGTATGGACAACTGCTCCTTTCGAGAAATATTAAATGTAGTATCTAACGACACGGCAAAATATTTGGCATTAATAAGCTCATCTTTAATTGAATTACGTATGTAAGTGGCAATATCATGAATTAATTGATTTTGTTGTTGCCATAAGATAAAACTATAAGTGTGTTTACCTAGCGTTTTCCTTTCAATTGAACTTCGGTTAATTGGGATGCTAATGGCTATGAATATTTTCCTAAGAAAATAGTTAAATCTTTAAAGTTTCCACGGAATTTATCTTGCCAACCTTCTCTATGGCCTCTAAATGTAAGCCATGTTTGCTTAAATATAAWGTGATTTCAATTAAATTTTTATAACTTTTATTCATTACTATTTTTTCCATTTCATTTTCTTTCATTGATTGAATAAGAGGAAAAGCTGCTTCTTTATATATGGCTTTGATTGAGGCAAAAGTATTTTTCAGTAACTTCGTGTCCACAAATTTTGATTGTTCCATTTTTCCAATCTGAAAACCCAACGCATACCCATTCACATTTTTTATTTTTACCAAATAGAGCACAGTGAAGACAATATAATCGGTTATTCTTCCAAAAATAGGACATCCACTTTCAACGAACTGATTTTCCACTGGGTAGTTTTTTCCAAAACCAACTATCATGAAATGATCTACCCTGAGAATTTATGGGAAAATATTCAGTGGCCATTTTATGAGAGAACGGCTGCATTGGTCCACATTTAAATAAATATTCAATTGTTTCGGGGTTTATTCTTTGAATTGAGTTAAACACTGCAGGATCATTTCCAAATTCTGACACTATAAAAAACAGTATGGAATTAAAATAAATTCAAAATATTATTTTATATAGATACCTATCATGTATATAATAATATTAAAAATTATATAAAGAAATATTTAACTTACATTCATTTTTAAATTCAAATCTAGTAAATTCTCTTCCAATTATCTTATCATTTGTAAAGGTATTTTTTAATTTTATAATTTCGCATGATGTTACATGACGTTTCCATTTCGTGTCGGTCAAATTCAATTTTTTTTTGTCATATAAACAAATAAAATTTGACATTTTAAATTTTCTRAACAATAAATTATAAATACAACTATTGAACTATACAAATATTAAAAGGATGTTTTGTCAATAAAAGAAAATTATTTGGCATTTATATAAGGCTCGGGGTTAAAGTGGGGAAAAATTCCAGAGGGGACTAATGTCTACATAAAGTTTTAAGCGTTCCATATATAATTTTAGGTATAATATGTCTAATGAATAAAATCCTAATTTGTTAAAGGGGTCGCTTTTTAACCGCCGTCAGAGGTAAGGGAACTAAGCGGAGTTTGTCGTTTGCGCATCATTAGTACTACAGGTAATAAATTTGGTAGGTCGTTTGCGCATCGCGCATTTTAACAATATAAAGGTACCTAACCTACCTACTATAATAGCAGGGGTCGCCGACCTTTTCAATCAAGTGAGCTACATTTGAATTAGAATAAATATTTATTATTTCTTGAGTTTTCTTCATAATAATAATAATAATAATGTAATATTTTAATAATACACGAGAAAAAGTAAAAAAAAATTTGTCCGATTGTTTATCATGTTATCGACCGATAATGGTAAAATTAATTTTTATAACGATCGAACAAGTCGACCCCAGTACTATAATAGTGACATGATCGAATGATATACCGATAACATTATATAACATATTATGATAGTATTAAGCACTGATAATTTATCAGTTGTACAAGTTTAGGAACCACGGTTGTAGATTTATACGAAAATCGTAGTTTTTGGTTTGTTAGGTTAACTTTCTGTTAGCTTATCATTAATAAATATCAACAGTCTGACATTTTACTCATATTAACGGTAATTTAAATATTTTGTAATAAATTATAAAATGACTACATTACACGTGGTACAATCGAAGAGAGGTGCTCCAGTAATAATAGTACTTTATGTCTTTTTTAACAATTACGATGCGCAAACGGCCTACAAAAAAGGTAATTCATAACAATAGGTATAGGAAATCACCCTATGCCTTTTTTAACAATAGCGATGCGCAAACGGCCTATAAAAAAGGTAATTCGTAACAATAGCGATGCGCAAACGTCCTACGCCCGAACTAAGTCCTCCTGGTTCCCCCCCCCACTTTAACCTCTGGGCTCGGGCTATACGATGCGTTATTGCCGCATGCAAAACGATGATTTCGCAGATTTCAGAACATAAGCTAATAGCTAAACTCATTGTACGTATCAAGTACTGTTTGCTTTGGTGAACCCAATACCCAGTGTCTGTGTGAGTGTGCGTCATGTGACCAATAACCTTTGATCATATACTCTAGATAGAGCTATAGGCTACAGCGTATATCACGCGTAGTCCGTGTTTGAAGCAGACCTRTTCGGGCCCGAAGTACTTATTGCGCATGCGCGAGTAATGAAATAGATTGAGCGGGACGTGGAAGGAACTAATAATGTGTGATAATGATTAGGTACTGATTTGTGTTTTGTGTATTCATCAGTAATCTCTTATCATAAAACAGTTTTGCGCTTACACAGCAACGATTATGGGCCCGAACTGCTATGCTTCAAGATATTGAATGAAATGAATCATAGCTCTATCCAGTGTATATGATCTAAGCCTATAACTGAATATCTCATCAATTATCAGTGTAATTACCCATAAATCTATAAATAATTTTCAATTATTAATTATACTATTTTATAATAATATTATATAATAGTAATTAGTTGATTTCATATTGTCATATATTTTTTGTTTTGTTCGAATAAATGAAACTACCTATCAAAGAAATCTAAATTTATACAAAATTATATTATTCTTGTATTACAAAAATATATACCTAACCTCGAATAATACCATTAGTTTAATACTAACAATACTAGGTATCCTGTATATGTTTTCGCTCAGTATATAGCCTATGTAAAATACCGTGAACTAGCTATAGGCTGTAGCTGCTGTTGTAGATTTAGAAATGAATTAGGTTTAATATTGGTAATTTATCACTAGGGAACAGATTTGAATGCAAATTGAATTTTTTTCTGAATGTCCAAAAACATTGGTTTTCAAGCAAAAAGTTCATTTCATACATCAAAGAATTAAAAAATGTAACTTTTATTTAGCATTTTTTAAAATTTTTAGTGCATATTGTGGTTTTTAAGTCATTTTTTCAACATTTTTTCCCCATTCTTCCTAAAAAAAAAATTAAAATACCWAAATATGTATTACGTTACGAAATTACGAAATTATTGTTGACACGTGTATTATGTTACGAAATTACGAAATTATTGTTGACACGTGTAGACACAAAATGTATACATACAAGTTACACCAGATTATTACCCACGTCCCACATTAAGGTAAAGATAAGAGATAAGATACGTTAAACTATTTATCTAAAGTTAATTAATTAAGGTTGTATTGTATTTAAATATTTTTTATTAGATTTTTCATAATAATGTGTTTTTTYATAAGTTTTAAATACAAAATTTTGTTTTTATTTAATATAAACCCATTTTTAAAGTTTTTTAGGGCATTTTTATTGTTTTTTAGAGCATTTAAATCTGTTCCCTATTTATCACTATCATAATCGCACGGTGTGCATGGTACACACACGCTAGGACTCTCTGTAATTTATAATATATATCCACTACTCAATCTTATCTTAATTATAAAATTGTAAAAATTTTTATCCATGTAAACTATCAATGCTAGGGGGTGGGTCCCCCTAACATATACATAGGTTCTGCGTCACTGAGTCAATCTCATAAAGGTAAGCGCCATGAACAACGAAATAAGAGTATAGGTAGGAAAATCCTTATCAACAGCAACCCAAGTAAGAACAGGATGAAGACAAGGGGATGCATTATCGCCTATTTTATTTAACTTAACACTGGAAAAAGTGGTCCAATACACTAGTTTTGAACAAAGTAGAGTACAAATAGATGAGTCAAAGCTTGGTCTTCTTGCGTACGCGGATAATTTAATGCTGTTAGCAAAAAATAAAGAAAAGCTTATTGAACAAACTCAAGAATTACTTGAAGTAGCAAAAAGAGTTGGGTTAGAAATAAACGTTGAAAAAACAAAATATATGATAGCATTGAGGGGGATTTTGCCAGAGGATGTACACACTCGTCTAGATGTGACTGAAGTGAGGACATATAAATTTAACGGATTATAGAATTTCAAGTATCTAGACGCACTTATAACTTAAAATAATGATTAACAAGAAGAGATAAAAGCAAGAATACATACTAGCAATAGATACTATTTGGGATTGAACAAGCTGTTCAAATCAAGAATATTGTCTTAGAGCCTAAAGGTACAATTGTATAGAACACTTATTCGACCGTTGGTGATGTATGAATGCGAAACTTGGACGCTTCATAAGATGGAACAGAATAAACTCTTAGTATTTGAACGAAAAGTTTTKCGGTCGATTTTTAGCCCGTGCATAGATAGGAATATTGCAGGAGAGTGAAACATAGTCGATGATATAAGAAAGAGGTGACTTGTTTTGGCAGGCCAAACATGGATAAAATTAAAAGAATATTATAGACATCGTACTATTGGTGTTGATGTAAGTACAGTTATTGTAGGATAAACCTATCTTAGTAGAAAATACAGATAATTTAAAATCAGMCMTTAAATCTAATACTTATTATAAATTTATGTAGGTACTTACAATGTATAGTACAAAAGTAAAAACATATTTTGTAGTTGAATTATTTTATTYATAATGGTAAATTGAAGTTTAATTTCTATTTACTTATCAACTGTTAAATTAAATACASCAAAAATATTATTATATCGAAAGTTAATGTTTAATATCAGTTATGTTTTAAAAATTGTAATTAGTTTAATTTTTATGTTAATATAAAGTGCATATATAGTAATGTATACGAGTCAACGTCAAATCATTACATTATAAACCATGGTTGGATTGCGTCATGATCTATGGTGAACATGTATGGCTCCTATGAATCAGTTTCCCGCATTATAAAAATAGTTAAGTTACATGATTATATTATTATCGATACAGCGTGAAAATGGAAAAAAAAAAAAAAACAGTAAAACCAAAATGTAAAAATAATATTAAGTTCTTCCACCGAGCGTCAATTTTCGACCAGCGCACAATATTGTTGTATCCCGTCGAGTTGGATTACAATAATCGGCGGATGTCACATTTGCTGTTCCACACCATCACGTAGTAGATGACGGCGGCGAGGATGCCGACGAGCAGTATCAGGAACACTTCGAACACGCCAAACTGTCTGGCCGCTAAACGCTTGTTGTTCTTTCTGACGGTGCGGCCTAATTCGCGGCCGACGGTGACGTAGATTTCACGCAGTTCTCCGTCCGCGGGGGTGGACGGCGGTCGCACGCACACGATCCGTCGTCGCTGCGTGCTGACGACGGTGCACGGCGTGCCCTTGGCGTTGCCCAATCGGATGGCCAGGTCGACGGACGGCCGGTAGCCCCGGTCCAGGTGGCGGCCGTTGATCGTCACGTTCCGGCCGTCGTCGGTCTCAAAGTCCGTGAACACCGGATCGGCGTACAGCCGGTAACCGGGAAAGTCGGGCTGCGGAGACAAGTCCAACGTGTGGTTGGCAAAGTACACGTGGAAACCAAAGTTGAATGACGGCGCCGCGGCCGCAGCGGACGATCGGGGCGCGTCGAGCGCGGGCGACCGGCACTCCATGAACGTGTCGTTGCGCACCGTGCAACCGGCGTAGTGTCGCACGCCATCCTGGTCGTCCACGTACAGCGTGGCGTTGCTAACGCACGTCAGGTGGCGGCCGCGCACCGGGATGTAAGTGCCGCCCGAAGCGATACCCGAGAACGGCTGTCCCGCGTCCAGCACTGGGTCACCCGCGTACACGAACTGCGCCGGAGGCTTGGCCAGCGGTGCGCCGGTGCCGTTTACGCCGACTTTTCTCCTCAGAAACTTGTCAAACACGACGGTGACAGTGCCCGCAGTAGGCCCGTCCGACGGTCCGGTCACGCACAGCATGCGATCCTCGTACCTGGCCACCACCTCACACGGAACGTTGGCCACGCCCACGGACACGGTGGCCGTGCTGCTGGCGTCCAGGAAATGGCCGGTTATGTGCAACAACGTACCGCCGGAGACAGGGCCGCACGCGGGGCTCAGTGCGATCGGCTCAGGGTAGATGAATCGGAACATATGTGTCGATGTCAGCCGCAGCGTGCCGTAAGTGATGTGCACGGGGCCTGTGGCCGAGTCGTTAGGATTCGGTGATCCGATCGTGCACGARATGGTCTCACTGTTGACCGTCTTCGGGTAGASACAATCGCGCCCGGCCACCGTGACGGTCACCTTCCGCGATTCGGACAGCACGTCGTGGTTCTTGATGGTTATCACCAGYGTTGCTCCACCCGACCACGGTGCCGACAGCGGTTCCACCGACTGGATCGCCATGTCCGGACAAGCGTCCGCGGGTGGTCCGGATTTGGCGAGGAGGGCCACCGCGTCCTCGTTACCCGGATCATCGGCCACCGTGCCTACGAAAGCAGTCGCGTTTCGATGGCCGTAGAACTCGAACAGGCCTGTGCACATGTTACTGACCGAACACCGTTTGTAGTAGAACGCGTTGAGTTCTGGGTCCCAGGAACACACGACGCAGTTCTTGGTCTTGTTGGTGATGTCACAATAATGGCCGTTGTACACGGTTAAGTAGTCGTTGACGCCGTCGTCGATCCGCAGTGGCACGCCGTCGAACACGATACTGTAGCTGTAGATCATCAGCCGCTGATTGTCGAACTCCCGATTGTCGTTGCTCATCGACTCGCAGTCGATCGTGCCCGCCTCCTCGTTCACCGTACCGTTGTACGTGACGTCTTTCAACGAGCACGTGATGTTTCTGTTGCCCAGGTACTTCACGAAACCGCTCACGTCGTTCGACACCTTCACCTTGTACGTGGAGGGCAGGTGCATTTTGTTAACGAAACTGTCGACGATGGTAAACTTCGGACATTGCGCCCGGATGTTCACCATCAACAGTTCCGGCCTCCGCGTCGTGTTCACACACGTCTGCCGTTTTAACGACCAGCTGCACGACGGCTTTTCTGCACATTTCGTACAAATCCGCGATCTTGAACAATCCACTGCATCCTTTTGGTTGTTACGGACGAACGAAACGACTTGTGGTATACATACCAACACCTATAGAAAAGGAAAATGTTAACAATTTTATTTTATTCACGTGTAATATAATAACACTATATTGAGTATATATATACAGGGCTGGGCCGATCAATAACGGCAAAATAAAAATTTGCGCCTCCCTCCCTAGATTTTCAAATTTAATTACATCAAATTTTACGCCCCAAATTCCTACTCCATATTTTTCGCTCCTGGCAGGCGCCCACATCCTTGCCAGGCCCTCGACCCGGCTCTGAGCATATATTAGGTATATTACATCGCCGTTTTGTGAGAGAGTGTGAATGAGAAGATGGCAGAGGTTCGAGGTCAATATTGTTAGGAAATTCGCCTATACAACCTATTTAGTACACCTATAGTACTAGAATACCTACTATATACAAGTGTTCCCATTAATAGAGCGGAGGACAAAAAAAGTTGACTTGTAGGTGTATTATGTAATGTAAAATATAGCAAAATAAAAGTATTAGGTACCAGAAAAAACTGGATCGGGTGGGCTATGTATTATACTTAAATATTTTCTAAACATTATATTTTAATAATATGCAAAAAATTCTATTGTTAATGATTTAGTTGACTACCTTATATAGAGATTCAAGATTTATATTATACTATAAGTACCTTACTTTAACTTACCCTAATTTTAACTATTTATAGACAATACCTATACATTATATATTATAACTAATCTCAAAGTTTTTATAAATTTACAAATTACTATCAAAGCAAACCTGCCACTATTTTGAGCCAACATAGGTTTCGCCATTAACATCAGCGACATACTGAAATTAGATTCGATTCTCCATACAAAAATAAAAATTAAAGTCCCACGGGAAAAGTCCTTTCCTGCTCAATGCAAACATTGCCAAGCATTTTTAAATTCTTCTAAAATACAAGKCTAAATCCCCTTCAAAATTAGATTACTAAATGTTTAATAATGAGAGTTTTAAAATGATAATAMAATTTAAGTAAATTAATTAATTGAAAAAAATATAAGACGCCGTTTCCAAGTAAATTTGACGAGGAATTTCAGATAAATTGAAAATGKCAGTTTTATCGGATAGCATAATATTTATAAAACTGATACAAGGTTGATACATTTATCTATATAAAAAAAAAAAATTAATATTCGTGCTCCGCTATTTCTTTTACACATTGCACACACATTTACACGACCCGTTTACTATTACTAAAACAATTTTCTGAATTGAATGTTTTTTTTAAAATGATCGGTATTGAATACAATTAAAAAATTATATTAAAATTATTCAAAGGCTGTAATGAGTTTATAAATTTGTACGTACCAATGTGGCTACAAGAAATCTATAAATAGATGAACCATTCCAAAATTGTTTTCTTGTCCCTGCAGTTAAGTCAACCATGATGTACCTAAATCAAAATCTATAATACATTTAAATCATTTAATAATAATATRAAATTATTTTTTATTTTAAATATACAAATTGAAGTAAAAATAAATGATTTATTAATATCACAATCGTATCGTATATATTATATTAAGTTCTTAACACTTTATATGACACAAGTAAAACATGAAAAAGACAGTGAAACAAAATATGACGAATAATAGATAATTAATTWAAAAAAATTCATGATTTTAAAATTWTTTTTATAATTATGATATAATATAGCATATTACTATTTTAAGTTATTGATAACATTATATCATAAAATTTTTGAAAAAAATTAAATTAAACAATGTTAAATTAAGCATATCTACTTTTTTACTCTAAACAAATTGTTATCAATAATCAATAAAAAATAACTTTAATGTAAATAAGATGTGTTCTAGACTAATTTCAAAAAGTAGCGATGTTATTAAGATTTAAAGCAAAATAATAATAATAAAAATGATTATAAACGACTATAAAACTAATATTTAAGTTATTTAAAGTTAAACTAGTTTTCCAATCAAAGTGCCTCCAATAGTTCATTGTTAAATTTTCGATAATTCATAATTCCATCGAAATTCAAGCATACTATATATGATATATTGGTAATGATATTAATACAGTATAACAAATAAAAAGTGTTACAATTAAATAGTATCATTACCTACTAACTATATTTGCTACTTAGTAGTTAGTATAATTTATTAAATTTTCTAAATTATAATATCTTTAAATAAATTCTCTCTAAAAGATTATGTAAATATAATAAAATTTATTATAAAGAAAAAAATATTAGTACCTAGTTAAAATTGACCTAAATTGAATTACAATAAATATTATTGTTTTATCATCGAATTATATCACTGATTTTATTTAAGGAGATTGAAGCACGCGCATTTTTCATACTTTTTAGACCAATAAGTACATACTTCGAAATGTCTAATTATAATTTTTAAATTTAATTTTAATTTTAATTCAATTTTAAATTTTAAAAKACTTTAAAATTAAGTTTTAGATACATTATTTTAAATCAAAAAAGCGGGTAAGTGGATAACGTTCTTCTGTACATTAGGTGCCTAAAATTACATTGAATAGTGAATGGATGTATGCCATTTGAGTTCAATTGTATTGTATTATTAAAGTCATTAGTACCATAGTAGGTTAAATTAAATTTTATTGAAAAAATTGTATTTTAAATTATGTGTGTATAAATAATAATAAAAATAATATATTCTAAAAGTTTCAAGAAATGCCCACGAATAATATTTTTTAAATAACAACAAAATAACTGTAATTGTATTTAAATATGTAATTTCGTTTAAATTTCTTAAATTTTCAATCCTTATATTATATTATATAAGTTAAGCATTTTATAAATTTACAAGTACAAGATAATCAGAAATTTTATTTTGAATTTAATAAACGTTGTTGAAATTTAAGATTTAAATGCTTATAAAAAAATGTGTGTTTATATATTTTTAATTTTTTCCAGCTGCCACTGTAAAAATATATCAGGAACCTTTTAAATGATAATGAAATTGAAAATCATAGCATTATTTCGACTATTTATCGCGTACAGTATACTACTTTACACAGTCGCAAAAAAACACACTGTATTGCGATTATCATTGAAAAATCAATATATTCATTGCTGTGCTCAGAATCTAAAATCATACAATCACATGCTCGTATTTCTCTAGAAATGTCTAATAGTATTGAGTAGTAATAGTTTACTTTAAGTCTCTGTCAAACAGAAAGCGTTATCTTCACGTCGCGTGATTTTGTAATTTGTTATTCACGCGCGTAAAAGCACCACGCCGACCAGCCATTTACCGCTTTAACGCGTTCTGTATAACAGAGCCTTTATACGATTATACTAAATGYATATTTAGAAAATATATTTAAAATACTGTCTACGTATGCTTAATATACGACCTGATAATTTGTGAAAATTCTCTCTAGAACAATTTGTCTATTAATCAGAATGTTCATAGAAACTAAAAAGTATCTATATATTTTTGGCGTATATGAGCCACAAACACAAAATAAGATCTGCGCTGTGTTATTGAATTAAAATGTGTAATAAATAAAAAATTAATACATTTAAAAATAAAAGTACAAAATTCATGTTTCAGATGATATCTTTAAGGGATTCGATATCGTGATTTTCTGTCTTTGTCTMACACATGCGTGTCATAGGATTTTATAGCCGTGTTCTTTGCTAAACGTACCGATGGATATATTGAAGCGATAAGAATTCTAAAACAGATTTGAATTTGTCACCAAGTGTATTTGAAATTGAATTTCCCACATTTTTRATTTTAAATTCTTCAAAATTTAAAAACAACAATTTTTTAGTAATCATTTTTTAACATAATGTTTTAAGGAATTTGAAAGACGATATCGAAAATGTGGTAAGGACAATCTCAAGTAGTCTTGACGACAAATTTAAATCTGTTTTTGGAATTCTTATCGCTATACATTAGATCAATTGGTACGTTTGGCAAASAACACGTCTAAAATCATWGGTAGCACGCTTACATTAAAAATAAGCAATAATGGTATCGAATCCCCTTAACCTCAGGTTACTAAGTTCAACTTATATTTTAATTATAAAATATGAATAAATATTTAACACTAATAATTAGGTACCTGCCGTTTTTAAGAAATTTCAGTATACCAAATTTAATAAAAATTTAATGTGAATAATAATTATTAATTACATTAGAAAGTAGGTCAACAAGTTATTAAAATAAAATTTTAAAAATGTACTCGTATTTTCATCTAACTCTTCGAATGGCCGCGTAATTTAAGTTTTCAATTCTTGACTATGGCAACTACTTATACTATTTTGATTATTAGATTTTTTTGACCMGAATCATTCGAGTGTGGTGGGTTGGGAATTGGGAGGTATATATTCAGATGTTATATCGAAAATATTATTATTAACGAAAATAAAATAAATGTATACAGTATACACAGTAACAGTAATACAAGTCTATATCTTGATAATATGGTCGAAAATAAGTGATACTGAAACTCAAAAACCCAATGGGCCAATATATATTATTTATGGTAAATTTMTAAATGGGCCTGATCAACATGAACTGGCTTTAAAGTTTATAGACCGAGTACAATACAACAATTATTGCGATCTTAGAAGGCTAAGGTTGTGAAAATCAAAATTAGTCGAATGATTCAATAGTATGATATGATACAAGTACAAATTACATCGAGATAAKACATATACTTGAAATATTATTTATTTATTATATTATGACCATAGATATTAAAGAATGGATAGGCCATTAATTATGCTTATCATACGAGAACGAACATGAAAATATARAGGTCTTATACAAATGTATAATTAYATAATTATTGTAACATAATTGATGATAAGACCTCTGCCAGAATGAGAGGCAATGGTATAAATCAGTCTTTCTCTCTTCCACATTCCAGCACASTTTCCTCTATTTTATTGATATAGCCATGGCCTATCCATTCTTTAATATCTATATKATTATGATTCGTCAGTAGTCTTTACGATAAGACGAGTACAAASTATAAAGAATATACAATTATAGGCCACTAAATCACGAAAGAAAAAGAGTCCATTACCACACTATTGATTCAATAAATGTCTAGTGCAATGTTCATTCAACCCGGTGGTATTAGTATACACTAATATATCATTACTTGGTATCTTAGTATATTCTTAAATTCTATTTCTCGATGACAAAGGCATAAAGCACGATTAAAATATAAATTACGATATTATCATAAATATTAAATAATGATACAGAGATACCTATGGAAATAAAATAAATGAGAATTATAATAATGGTTAACTGATAATAGCATAACAATGTGGGACGTGGGTGGCTGATAATCGTTTAAAATATGTATTGGTTGTTACTGTAGAAATGATGAATTATTAAACATCAAATTTAAATGAAGCATATCTTTGCAAATAGAAGCCAAAATAATTAAACGCACTTTATATTCTATAACTATAGTTACTTCTTTAAACTTCACATATTATATGCATGCATAAACCTTTAATTTTAATTTTAATCAGGAAATCCAAGAATCACAGGATTGTGAAGAACCAGTATTATATATTTAGTGTTTAAATTGCATAATAAACTGTGAAGAACCGAATGAAACCTTTAATTTTAATTTTAATCAGGAAATCCAAGAATCACAGGATTGTGAAGAACCAGTATTATATATTTAGTGTTTAAATTGCATAATAAACTGTGAAGAACCGAATGAAACCTTTAATTTTAATTTTATCGTAAATTACAATAATATTATAACTATTATCAAGTGCAAAATTAAAATATTGTTTCTCACCGACCACAGTGTTTGTACAAATTGTATTTACTTCTTACTCATTAGTCATTAATCATTATATAATATATATTGTTGATACTTAAAGTGGCAAAAGGTATAACTATTTGTTGTAATTATTATTTTGACAAAGCATTATATTTTTTTAAATATGCATTAGGTATTTAAAAATCTACACAGCAGTCGGTAGCCAATTTGTATAATAATTTTGCTTGTTGAATTATTAATAATTAATTATCATTAAGTAGGTATTAAAAAACATATTTTTAAATACGAGTTATAGACAGCATGCTGTAATATAAAAATACATTTGTTATAAATACTATTATATTTTAGTATTATGAATCCCTGTAAAACATCCTGGGGAAAAAAATACACGGAAAAAAATCCGACCATAAAATTATTATACGGGAAAAAAGTCCTGTTATACAATCTACAGAAATAGAGTGTACGGTAATAAAGATAGCAGAATTAATCTGTATTATAGAAGTACGCATGCTTGGTATTGCGATGGTAATTTTTTGTGAAATCCAGAAAATTTGATTATATGTTTTTCGAGTGAAAACTGTTTTCTTCTAAAAAAAAAAAAAAAAATAGTAGGTACTTACAGAGAAGTTTTTAACGTAATTCTAAAAGAGTGTAACAATCGACWATTTTAACCAGATGATCTACAAATTTTAAATTTAGATTTTGAACAAGCTCCTATAGGCTATAAATGCCACCCAGTAAGATTGTTTTTATCACTTACCTCAAAATATGGCAAGATAGAAGAAGTTTCATTACAAAGCTAAATATTAAACGAATGATACATTAAGTAATTTTTTGCTATGCTAGAYGATTTAGCATTTTTTTCAATAAATAAAGTTTTCGACGGATTTAATTATTTAAAGACAGTTTGCATAGAAGAAGCTACAGAGGTTCTGGATTATTTCATAAAATGTATCAAACATATATTAACATATAGAAAGACAGTAAAAGGTATGAATATAAAATKTAAAAATAATAAACCGCTATTTCCAATAGAAATATGGAACGTTCACAAGGCTACAATAAACGGTCAACATCGTACAAACAATATTTGCGAGAGTTGRAACAACCATTTTACGAATTCGGTCGGACACGCGCACCCAACCGTCTGGAAGTTAATCTCTAAAATTTTATTAGTATTTTAGTATTATCAATTTTAAATTCCATAATCAATAAATCAAACCGGACTTTTTTCCGTATTATAATCTTGTGGTCGGACTTTTTTTCCGGCTCCCCTCTATTATGATAGTCTATACGTATATAGTTATTATATTAATTTATGTTATTTTTGCTATTCTAATAGCTGAGTGTTTACAACGTGTTTAACAATAAAATATTATGTAGTTGTATGTTATAATTTTATAATTTTATGTTTAGAACTTGAATTAATTAACAATTAAATATTTTTAAGTCTTACTTACCTGCTTATACGATTATATTGTTCCATCCGACGGTTACAGATCTGTTTGTTGACAATTGTATGACCGTTAAAAACCAAGGCGTAAGCCAATAATTTATTATTATAAATTATAATAAAAAAATAAGACACTTTTCTRTATTAAAATCGAAATATTTTCAATAAGAATATTTTAGATGTGTACTCCTCGTACCTCCGTACACGTATGACKACAGTCTTGTCAGGCGACTGCTCGGCGCTCGTGTACGAAATGAGGCGCCCATCAGACGCATCCAGACATACTTATCAATAATCCATTATCGCCATATATTGATGGGTAAAAAACGTGTTTTTAACTATTTTAGTTGACATTTAAATAAACATTAGGCCGAAACACGATTAAGCGATTAATGTACTGATATCATATAACAATAGCATATAACATTCCAAATACTTTTACTTATATATTTTAGYTACATATCAATGTATATATTGATCGTTTTCAAACATAATATTATTTGAACTTCGCACCTGTGAATCTCGAGATACAAAAGGTATTCGCTTCGTATAATGATGGGTAGGTTTAGTAGGTACCTAATTATATATTGCTTCCGGGTCTAACTGGCGACAATAATAATAGTATGATAATTTAAGTATATTTCGAGGTGGATCTGTATACGTGTACGTTAAGGGTGGTGAAAATGAGAGTTTTATTACAATTTATACAAAAAACTTCAAGAAAATTAAATTAATCAAACAATTTATTATCATGACCAACACATTATAGAACAGTTACAGTTGACAATAATATAATAAAGGGACCGGACATCCGAAACCAATCTACTAACAATAATGCACGCACGCGAAAGATGGTATTTTGTAAATGTTTAGTCACTAGTGTGTATCGCGTTAATGGCGATCACGTGATTAATCGTATATAATACATGCACTTAAAAATTAATAAAACTATTGTATTAATCGCGTACTGCGGAAGCGTCGCGTCGATATTCGGTCGTCTTCCCTTCGGACACGATCACTTGTTGCGATATCCAACCGCAGTGGTGGGGTTGGTGCACGCGGCCGACGTCGTGGCGCCGACCCGGTGTCTGGTGGTCTTAGTACGGTACACGGCAATGCACGCCACGGCAATGGCGATCAGACAGACGATCTTGACGCAGTTGACCACGCTGTCCGATGGGCCCCCGCCTAGGCCGCGACTCCGGCCGTCCGCCTTGCGCTTCACCACACACGCGAACGTGTCGCCGATGGTGACGATCACGCTGGTCACCGTGTCCAAGTCGACCACGGACGCGTTGGTGGAGGGCGCGCACACGATCCGTCGGTGGTCCGTGGACGTCACGTCGCATACGCTCCCGGAACCGCGGAACCGGACCGTCAGGTCGTCTTGCGCCCGGTAGCCGCGGTCTAGATCGTGGCCGTTGATCGTGACGGTACGGCCGTCTGTCACGAAGTCCACGAACACCGGATCGGCGTGCAGGCTGTAACCGTGTGGGTCTCGCGGCGGCAGCAGGTCCATCTCGTGATACTCGGGGTCCTGCACGCGCAGTCCGTACTTCAACGACGTGACTGCACTGCCGCGTCCGTACTCGAGCTTGGGTGCTCTGCACACAGCCAGCGTATCGTTGAGCAACCTACAACTGGAGTAGTGGACCCTCTCGCCATGTCGGACGTAGAACATTGCATACCGTAGGCACGAGAAGTGTCGGCCGCGCAGCTGAACCGCTGTGCCACCTGACGCGATGCCCTGCAGTGACTGGCCGGGATCCAGCGCGGGCACAGCCGCGTACGTGAACACCACTGACCCGTCGCCGACGTACTTGCTCAGCTGGCCATCGAATACCACGTTGACCCTGGCCGCCGTGGGACCGTCGACCGAGGCCGGGTCGGTCCGGCACAGTATTAGGTCCGAGTATATGGCCACCGGGTTACACATCGCGTAGTCACCCACCGATACCCGCAATGTGGTGCCTGCATCCAGGAACCGGCCGCCGATGCGCAACATGGTGCCGCCGGCTGCGGGCCCGCACCTCGGACTCATGTCYGTGATCACCGGATCCACCAGTCCGATGACGAGCGCTGACGTGATGGACACCTTTGGCGGGTCACCGGTGTACAGCAACCGAATCGGGCCCTCGTGGTTGCGGCGGCGGTCCGTGTGGGCTGCCGGCATCATGGTGCAGGAAATGGCCGTCACGTCTTCATCGGCAGTCATCCTCTTCGTTTTGGGTTCCGAGCACTCGCGCCCAGCCACCGTCACCGCCACTTCCTTGCCCTCGGCCAGGATGTGGTGGTTGACGACCGTGAACCGCACCGTCGTGCCGCCCAGCCACGGTGCCGTTATCGGGTCCACGGACCGGATCTCGGCTTCCGGACACTCCAGACGCACGCCACCGTCTCTGTCAACGTCGCCGGTCGCCACCACGGTGTAGTTTTTCACGTTCCACTTGCCGTAATACTCGTACTGGCCCACGCACCGGTTTTTCGTCGAACATCGTTTGAAGTAGTTCTTGTACCCGTACCCGCTCCACGTGCACGTCACGCACTCCTCGTCTCTCCATGTCTCATTGCACTCGTGATCGTAATACACAAAATAATTGTCGGAATCGTTGTTGAATCTTAGTATTATGTCGTCGTCGATCGTGATGTGATAATGGTAAACCATCAACGCTTTAAATCGCTTGTCCCTCTGTGCCGTTAGTTTTTTCGTGTTACATTTGATCTCGTCGTTCAATATATATCCCGTGAGTTTCTCTTCTTCAAAGTTGCACGTGATTTTACGCCCTTGTAGATATTTTACGAAATTGTTCTTGTCGTTCGTCACCGCCACCGTGTACGAGAATAACTCATCCCTTAGCACGGAATTCTTTACTATGGAGAACTGAGGACAGTGTCCTTCAATGTTCACTGTTAGATTTCCTAAATTCGAAGCTGTCATTATACATGTCTGAATATCTAACGACCAACTGCAAGACGCATGTTTCGCACATTTCAGGCATGATAAGAATTCTGAGCAAACCGTTGAATTATTCTCCGATTTCAATGGATTCGCATGTGATAATGATATAAATACCTGTTAAAAATAAAATAATTTTTTATTTAAATATAAAATCATCTATTAATTACTATTTTATTATTTTTTAGTGACAGCATTTAAAAATATGGCAATCATTTTAACTAAAAGGACATTTATAGGTAAATTTATGTTTTATGAGGTTGATGATTAATACGATCACACAAACATTATAATATTAAAAATTTTCAAATAGTGTTACATTTATATACAATTTAATTAAGTTACCCCGTCGTAGAAAAATATTCATATTTTAAATATTTAGAATTCAAATTGAAGATAATTTAGTTTATGGTCACAGTTAATTATTATACGGTTTTCTGATTTTCTTACTTTATCTAGTATACGCAAAACAGAGGAATTTAATCGAGTTTTCATTCCAACGTATACATTGATTGATCTATAGGAAGCAGAAAAAATTCTAAAACAGATTCAAATTTGTCATCATGTCTGCTTGGAATCGACTATCTAACATTTTATTGATCCTTCTTAAATTTAAATAAGCCATACTAAAAAATATGTTATTTAAAAAAAGAAATGTTTCAATTTTCAGTTTAGTTAAAATCTATAAATACATTTTGTGTAAAAAATCGATTTCGAGTAGAATTAAAGGATGTCGGCGTATTTTTTTTTTTTAATTTCCTTCTGACCCGGGTACAACAAAGCAAATTTTATGTTCACTAGAATGATTCTAATYAATAATCATAACAATTTCTTAATTCAGAGTGAAATGACCATTTATAAAATGCCAAGGTAAGATTATTATCTAGGGCATCTCATAACCTTTTTATAATATTTTTATTTTAATAAGAGTTTAGGATATATTACAAACAATTCACAATTTTAAAATACTCATAACGTGCTTTAAATTTAAAATATAATAAAAATTAAAAAGTCTATGAGACGTCCYMTAGGTATAATAATCTTAACATTTTTTTTTWTTTTTATTTTTTTATTTAAATAAGGCTTCAACTCCTGAGGTTATTAGCCTGCAGTAAATTCTTAACATTTTATAAGAGGATATTTCACTTTAATTTTATAAATTATAATGATTATAAGCTAGATTGTAAGTGTAAAATTTGTCATGTTATGCTTTGGCCAGGGAGAGAAAGAATGCACAATTCTCTTGATAAATTWAAAGATTTTTAGAATTTAAATCCATGTGTATTGACAATAATAGAAAATCACTGTTTTTAATCCCTTTATTTGGGATTARGTATATACCTATATATTATAACTTAGTAGTAATATTACTTAATAAGTTATAATATATTATCAAAGAGACTTACTAATACACGTTCATAACATTTTAAATTCTCACAKTATCGTCAAAATATAAAAAAAGCAGCGTAATAATTTATTTATTAACCGTTATTATTTGTTTTATAATTTAAATATTTTATATTATTTACGAAATTAACTAATAAGTGATATTTATTTCGAAAGTTTTTTCCAGATGATGTTTWTACCATATKAAATAGACTAGCCTACGAAAATAATGCGTATTAAAAAAATAGTAATAGTAATTTGCTTAATCTATAAACCAATCGGAAAGATATACGGAAAATATTATGCTCTATATATAGCAGTTAAAAATAAAAAAAAGGCAAGATAAATATTTTAATTAATTTTTACTATAATATGCAAAAATCTTCAAGTTTATGCCTATTCAAAAATATATGCAATATAAGTAGATAAATTTAAAATTCACAGCCTTCCAATACTAAAATGTTTAAAAAATAATATATATTTTGAGTTATTATTTAGTTAAGTGTATCAATATTTCAACATTTTTTGAAACAAATATCAAATGGTATAAAAAAATATTTCTATGCAAACGACAAACTATTCGTCTGTAAACATACAGAAAACTTTTTTATACAAATATGATTTTGGTAATTTTAACTTTAAAATTGTCTTGTTTACATACTATTATAATAAACATTCCATAAATATAAGAACATCCGAAATAGTTTCTTTGACGCCCACGATCAATCATGTTTTCTCGATTTTGTATGATCCTAAAAAATAAAAATAAAATATTTATAAATTATAAAGCTTGCCATAAGTTTTCTTAAACGTTAAATATTATGACTCAAATGCAAAATAAAATTTTAACTTAACGAAATTCCTGATAATACACTTAATTGCAATATGTTGGCTTAATATATTTTAAAACCATTTGTATAGTTTATTTATTTTGTGCAGTATACAGGCACAGTCAAATTACTTTTGAAATATCAAAGCTTATCTTAGTACAGTTTGTAATTAAATTAAATGTAGGGAAATATTATAATCACATTAACAGTAATAACAGTATAGTCAGTGGCTCGTTTCACTAAGAATGTAGGTACCACACCCAGGTTTATTATCTCTCTCTGCCGCAGAAGCGTATTATACTAGGGACACCTATTAAAAATAATGTATATTTTCGAGGTCATCTTTTAGATTTTTTTCCATATTAAATTTCACAAAAGAAATAATGAATGGTAGTTTGATTGATTTTCAAAAAATATATTTGTAATCGAAACAATTTATAACAACTAATTCCTGAGTGTAGTAAAAAATATAATGTAATTCCTACATTTGTTACTAAAGATTTATGATTTATTCATAAATTCCCATAAACACAAATAAAATACTCTGAAAATTAAGAATTTTTTAAAAAGTATTATTAATAYATAGGTTTTATACTTGTCACTTGACGAGATTTGCATAATTTGGTTAATTGATTTTAACTTGTAATGTAAACAATCTTATGGACTYGGACTATTTACTAACTACAGATTTATTTAAATATCGCAAGAACAACATGAAATATATTTTGATAAAGTTTACCATTATTAGAAATATTTCTCTACTTGGTTAATTTTTTACAATAATGTAATTTTATTTTTATTTTTGAATCTGTCATCACGTTTTTGATTAGAAATAATGATTTGATTTTTGACTTTAGCCTTTTTTGAAAAGGAAAATTCATTTAGTTGGTACTTGAAACGTAAAAGTAAAAAATTCCTAGTAATTTACAAAAGCGTCAAGAAAACCCTTATAAAAGTAACGAAAAAACGGAAATTTTTACGCATAATCAGTTTTMAACAAAATTGATTTTTTATCTTGTTGTAACTCGAAAATCAATCATTGTAAATATTTGAAATTTTCACCAAATGTTTATATATTAGCGTTATATTTTTACGATTAAAATTTAAAAATTTTTTSACTTTTTTAAAGCTATTTATAGACAATTGAAATCTTCGATTTTTCTAAGTTTTTATTTTTTTAAATGCCTATAAAAAAAATGTGGCTATATCCAAAAAATCTTTACGTTTTTCGTTTACAACGATACATGTCATCGCATTCAAATTTAACACATCTATTAGTGACCTACTCTCCATCTATACCTTACATAAGAGCGATACCCAATTGCCCACTTTATTAATATTTGAAATTGTCCACATTTTTAATAATAACTACATGTATTGAGTGTTTACATATAAGTTGTGACCAAAAATTCTCAAAAATCTGAAACTAATATTGTTGTCATGACATTTCAATATTTGAAAAATCAACAAAAATTATTATTTTRRKWAWTWA